TTACTCTCGTTATAGTTAACTTAAATTATACTTTCTTACTAGTTACTTTACTTAATAAGATTATTACTCGTTAGTCTATTTAATATAGATTAGTAGTTGTTAACCCTTTATTACCTTCTATTTAAGTACACCACTCCACTGCATCGCTAGACAAACTCTCACGGCGCTCCTCACACCATCTCACTCGCCCTAACCCGGATCGAGCTTAGAGAAGTATCAGCACCCAACCCCGTGTAACAGGGTGATAAAACCACCGAATCCAGCATGTAACCCTAACGCTAAGCCTATTTTAGCACGAATTAGGCCTCTTTCGTCGCCTTATATTGGTTAGGCCTTTAGCTATCTCGTTACCTGTTAAGAATAGAACTCTTCTTGTTACTAGTAACACTTAATATCTACTAAATATAATTTATTCTAATATATATAGTTCTACGTATCATAGACGCTGACCTCTTTCTCTACTAAACTACTTATTATAATTTCTCTTATGACAGCTAGTACGGTCACCTAAGTTTGTCTACTATGTCTCTTGCGGCACCGATCGTAAAATATAGCTAAACCTAAAATAAACTATAGTTCCGTTTTGCATAATGTGTAGGGTACGAATATCTGCCCTATCTAGATAGCCATTCCTACCAATCAAGTTTGTTAGACTGATGCGATAATTTACATAGAAAAAGCTCATCTTCGTGTACTCCCACCGCTGAGTCCGGCAAGACCTGTCGAGCGGGCCAGATCTCTCGCCCCAGCTTCCTTTCCTGTTCATAGTGCTGCTGGATAAGGCTACGAACAGTCTGTTGAACGAAAAGCGGGCCTTTCTCCATTCTTGTGTGCATCTCTCCACTTACATACACTCCAGCTTCATGATTCCTTTGCGTATTGAGGCATAGCCACTTGTCTTCGTTCAACACTCTTTTGTACATGGAGTCAATGGCTTCGAACTCCGAATCAGAGGCGTCTTTGTGCCGATAAACCTCGTACTCCAACAAGCAATGATTGGGAGATGTTGGCACACATCTCATCATGTAAAAAAAGAAAGGCCTGGGGTACGTTAGCCGATTCGGATGAACGCTTCCAGAGGTAAATGAATCCACCCACGTGACGGTCATGCAAGCATTTGGGAAATAATACGTGCTACGAACTCTCTGTCCCTCATCCATAGCGATGTGCTCTACATTGGTGAAGTGCTGAATGTGTCCACCTTGTGTAGCCACCGCATAAAGCTTCAGGTCTGTTATGCCAGCTACGTCCGGGTGAGCTGTCGGACAATGGTAGCATTCGTTATAGTTATCTGCCAATGCCTTCCAGTTGAAATCGCCGCCCATGCTCCACGTATGATCGAACTGGTAATCCTCAAAGTTAAACAAATCCATGCGAGGTTGTGCGTCCACACCCTCAAAGTCGTCTTCCCATGCCAGTTCACTTGCAACGTCCATGTTCACCCACACGAAGCCTTTGCGATCGACATGAACATTAATCCGCCAAAGTCCGTTCTGTGTCTTGTCGAAGCCTTTCATTTCTTCGTACCCAGGCGCCTTTGCTAGGTTACCTTTCAGTCCGTAGGACCATCCATGATACTTGCAGGACAGAATCCTTGCTCGTCCTTTAGTCTCCGTCACAACGGGAAAGGCCCGATGCCGGCAAACGTTATGGAACCCATTGATTTTACCATCTCGATCTCGGCACAGAAAGAACCGGAAGCCTGCTTCTTCAAATTGAACAAAGTCTCCAGTAGTGGGGAACCTGTGCTTATGAGTAACCAGAATCCATCTCTTAGAGTAAATAGCCCGTCTCTCAAGTTGATAAATGGCTTCGGATCTGTACCATGACGAGGGTAGGCTGTGCGATGTAGTGTTTGGCTGTGTGCCGTTTCTTGTGTCTTTATAGCCGAGAAGTTCCCGGAGGTAGTGGATCATGATGGCCGGCGGAGGGCTTGTGACTGCGAACTGAACACTCTGAATGAGATCTTTGGTATGAAAACCTTCCTACTATATTCCCTCATTTTGTTATCAAACCGCTGTCCAAATCCGGTGGTTAGAAGCTGACCACATGAGTTGGTGGCCGATCACGTGAGCGGACTTTGGGCCACTCTCGTAATCTACTCGGTATGTACTTCCGGGTGGATCTTTTGGGCGATTCTGGCATTGATTATGCCCTTATCTGCGACTCACGCGACATCGGGTATTTTCCGGCGGTGTCCCGTTATCGGCGGACCACCTCCGGAGATTAATTACGCAACCCACCAATTCTCACACAACATCCTCCAGATGGCAGAGCACCAGCGAAGCGGACGACCTTATCCTTATCCTATGAACAAGCGTGCGAGACAAGCTTGCGAGAATTGTCGGTCCGTATGTGCCCAGAAGTGGGTCTGTTCAATTCCTTCGGGAACTGATACAAGTGCAGTCGCAAGAAATCGAAATGCACGGGAGAGAGACCTAATTGTTCTTGCTGTGCGCGACTACAACAACAATGTGTATATGCCCCTGACTTTCGAACCCGCGAAAGGTCCCGAGGACCTCGAGACGACACTGGCGATGTTCTTCAAACAGTCGGCACCAATGATGTAAGACAGCCCATCCGTATCTACCTATCATACTCATCCATTCTCAGTCTGAGCGTCTCAACGCGATCGAAGATATGGTGAAAAAGCTCGCTGCTGTAATTCAGTACGATTTCCAGTAAGCATCACGAAATCTATATTGACATCCTGGTAAGCGTACCACCACGTTCTACGCCAACCGAGGCTCCGACCTATCACGAGGACAGCGATGAACCTCGAACATTGCCGACCTCACAAGAGCCCGAAATCCAACTTTCGCCGTCTCCACTTTGCACTGAAACACAATCTTCCTATACAAGGTACGTACTGTTGCAAATCACAACTGTTATTGTCTATTCATTGTCTGTAGCGTGCAAGATGCGCAACTACCCGACGCAGTCATAGCAGAGGGTATTGCGCTCTATTTTTCAAACTTCTGCAATCAACCGTGTCCCATCTTGGCCCATTCTCAACCTTTTGAATGCAGCGAGGATAACCCAATACCACCGATGATTCTGTATGCCATGCTAGCTCTCAGCTTGCGGTCATCGCAACATCCGTTCTTCAAAAACCAACTTGAAAGAAAGAGATGTACAGATAATCTAACAACGCTCTCATGGGGTCTTATCGCCAAGGCATACTGCAATTTTGATATAGATGATGTGTACTTCGAGGCACTTTGTCTGCAGGTGCAGGTGGACTTAGGAGGTAAGTTGATGACTAAATCCTGTTTTTGAGACATACTGATATGAGTTAGACGAAAGGCTCGAGAGAGCGCGAAGTCAGGTTGCTATTGGCTTGCGAATCGCCCAAGCCCGTGATATGCTTGGCACCAATTCGCTTGATGGCCTAGGGCTTGCCGATCGAGCTCGTAGGCAAGAGATAGTCTGGTCTCTTTTTATGCTAGACAGGATGCTTCTTGGCGGAAATACGAGAAATCCGTCGACTCCAACTGCAATCTTCGAACTTCCTATCATCCAGAGCGGTCCTTCCCATCCAGATATTCATTCCCAAACCTGCGAGCCTGACACTTCGTTCGGCTCTGTAGATTCGGGTGCGCTGCTTCCACCACAGAATGTCGCTTCTCTACAGATACAAACCATTCGAATCTGGGAGTGTATTATCGACTACATCGCCCAACCCCCTTTAAGCACTGATGTCCCTCTCTGGAGGCACGATTCGCCAAGGGCCGCGATTCTCACAAAGCTCTTAGATATTGAGACAAGTCAGTATGATCATCTTCTTTTATGGGAGGGGGAATCTAAGATGTTCTAGGATGTGAGATCGCAGGTCATGTTCTATCATCTGTCGGATCGCCTGCTCGAGTGCTACATGAACCAGCATTGACAAATTACTTCGTCATATGGTTGCGGTTCCAGCTAAGTTTGTCTGCGTTTAATTGCATTTTGTGAGTAAGCTTCGAAAATGTCGAGCTGACATACTGAACACTGGCAGAAACCACCCTTTTATCATCCACGTTAAAACTACACCGCTCAAGCATAAGATTCCACTCACCTTCCTACAGAAGTCTTACGAGTTCTCTTTGATTCATGCCAATTGGGTGTACAGGCTACTTAATCACATGGAGGAGGCCAAATTGATGCTACATGACCCCTTTCTTGGTCACCTTGTCGCAATCACGGCTTCAGTTCACTTAGAACATACCAGGAGCCAGTATCCTACGGTTGCTGGATCTGCAAAGCAGAAATTCAATCAGTGCTTTCACTTTGTGAAAAGGCTCTCAAAAGAATGGCCGCGCATGCAAGCCGCTGTATGTATCGAACTTGTTTTCGCGGATGCACACGCAAACTGATATCTGTAAGGCCTCCCTACTAGAGCAACTGGAAGCGCGTGTCCCTTACCGATCGAATCTGAACTACGTAGAAGAGGAATACGATGGTGCAGCCCCACTCGGTGCGAACAATCAAATACACCTCCCAGAAGAGGATTTGCTACTGATGTGGAAGCTCTTTGACTGTGTTGCGACATATACCAATCATAGCTCACAGCTTGTTCCTGACGAAAGGCTTGACTCTGTCATGCATGACGTGTCACCCGAAAGTGGCGACACGTCAACTCTGATCAATGGTCCGAGATCTGGTCATTTGAGCTCCAATACCCCCACTGGTATAGAAGCAACGAAATCCAGACTAGAGGACATTGCAGTGCCCTCTTATGGTGAGAGGCCCTCAAACCTTAGATCCGTCTTCGACTATTCCCACGTTGACTTTGATTTCGACATCCCGCATCTGGCATCGTCATTGAGATAAAATTCGAGCTGCTCAATTCTAATATTCTAATGAGTATTGGTTCTAAATATCTCCCGTAATTTCACAATACGTTCAAATCTTCGCGCGGTCTCCAACTAGTTTTGATTTCCAAATTCTACTCAAGGGACCATTGGCTCCAAATACGGGGTCGAAGTCGGGGACTGGCACGTTTTTGATTTCCTCGGCTAATGCTCTCATGGATTCCTCGCCTTTGCAATGGTTATTCCGCCAGCGTGGAGCGTCCTGTGTGCGATCAGCCGATGCCGATACTCAGTAACAGATTCTGCTCTCTGACTGACCTTAGGATATACTCCAATGTATCTGAACCCACCTTCAGACCTGAGCGACCTGTGTGAAACGCCTGCTGGGATTACAATCACATCCCCCACACGGACGTCAACTTCGACGCCGTCGGTGCTCTCATCCTCTCTTGCCCGCCCCAAAGCCAAACGAGAACTTCCTTGGATAATGGCTGCGTATGTTAGATTCATCAAGCAACACGTTTCATCAGTCTGGGGTCTATACCGTAGCATTCATGCGTGTTGGGATGAAAATGAGGTATTTTAATCTCTCCCCACTCGCCCTGGTAGTTTTTGAGTGTGTTTCCAAACATGGCAATATATTTACATTCATAACTTACGCGTTTTTCCCAGCCATTTCCCTCACAAATGGTCTTGGTAAGTTTAGGGTTTATCGGAGTGGGAAGAACGTTCCGATAAATCAAGACTGGCAAGATACTGTTCGGAACATATGTAGATCTAGGAAGATTGTACTGCTCAGGCCACACAGCGTTCATGACATATGTTCAGGATCTGATGGGTGCTGTGACGGCGTTCATGTGTGTTGAGTCTGTCGAGGGACGCAATTAATGTTAGGCGTAAATGCTTAGCGCCGGCAAGGATTCCTTATCAACTCCGTATGACCTCCGCATGACCTCCGCATGACCTCCGCTTCCGTTCCCGCCTGCAGCACGCGTTATTTTAGCGTCCAAATGCATGCCCTCCTCGAACCAGGCATTGTGCACAGATGTCTCGGCCCGATATCTTTCTGCAATACATAGATCCATATAATCCATACAGCTGTCGATGTTCTGAACAGGTTATTGGGCACCATGAACACCGATAGCTCTTTAGTCATTGTAGGCGCAGGCGTGTTTGGCCTGTCAACAGCACTAGAATTAACTCGCAAAGGGTATAAAAATGTCACGATTGTAGATCGACACGTACCCCCAGTTCGTAGCGTTGTATTGGCAAATCTGAGGATAAGGCTGATGGAACAAACAGGTACCAGACGGCTCCAGTGTCGACATCTCACGTGTGATTCGGTTCGATTATCGCGATCCAGTATATGCTAGGCTTGCAAAAGAAGCATTTGATGTGTGGTGTGCCCATCCGAAGTTTCGCGGAATATTCTACCATGGCCCAAATGCTTTCATTGCAAGCAAAGCTTATGGGCGGACACACCTCGAGAAATGCACAGATGCGCTTGACGGGCTCGGCCAGACGTGGAAAGCAATGCCAAACCAAGAAGCTATCAAAGCCATGTTCCCCATTCTATACGGCGATACCATCAACTCATCCCTCTCCGGATACTGCAATTCAAGCTCCGGCTGGGCCGACGCTCAGAAGGCGATTGCCCTCCTTCGTAATGAGTGTATTGAGGGCGGTGTGTCGTTTATCTGTGGTAAAAAGGGCACTATTGCTAATTTCAAGGTCGACGAAAAAACAAGCAGGATTATTGCCGCACAAACAGAGAGTGGTAATGAGATACAAGGAGACTACTTCATCCTCTCTGCTGGCGCATGGTCGCCAATGCTAGCACCTATGTACAACTCGACAATTTCCACAGCACAAGTCTTGGCTTTCATCAATCTATCAGAATCTGAGATGAACACCTACAAAGACCTGCCACTATATATAGACTATGACTCAGGGTGGTTCTGCTTTCCGCCCCACCCCGAGGCTCGAGTGCTGAAAGTTGCCGTCCATGGTTGGGGCTACACTCGGAGGACCAGTCGCACCTACCTTTCTCTTCCGCCTACAGCCATCCGAAGCAAGCGCACCGATTTTGCGCCTGTGGACGGTATAGCAAGACTACGTTCAGGTCTAAAAACGATTCTTCCGTCTCTCGCAGACCGCAGATTTGACCGCGTTGCAGTGTGTTGGTACAACGATACACCCACCGGCAACTTCATCATTGCTTACCATCCGGACCACTCGAATTTATTCCTTGCTACCGCCGGAAGTGGCCAGTGAGTTCTCATCTCCTGCAAAAAAGATTTATCCGACAAAGAATCCACACTAACTGAACTATCTTCGTAGTGCATTCAAATTTCTTCCTGTGTTGGGCAAGTATGTAGTGCAAGGACTCGAACGCACACTGTCGACAGACTTGAAAAGCCAATGGCGTTTCAGGACAGAGTACAAAGACCAAGAGAAAGAGTTTTATGGCGATGGGAGTCGTGGAGGGCCAGCACGGCGCGAATTCACACCGCAGGAAAAGGCACTGTTATGATTGAGCATTAGCGCTATGGTCCACTTGCGTCCAGCAGGTACTCAACTAAGATTAGCTACGATATTTTACTGCGAACTTCGTGTTGTACGTTGTGTGTCCCTGATAACATTAAGCGTTGAAATCCTACTTGGGCCAAATCTTACAAATAGGGACTCCGCAACCTTTATTAAACGCATTCAAAAAGTTATGTGAACCATCCCTAATGCCAACTCAGATGAATAAGACACTAGTCGATATTCCTGTACGACGTAAGAAAATCCAATTAATAAAGATAGGCTGAAGGCTTCTAAAGAGTTGCATAACACCTCCAATGCCCGGCTGCGATTGCTTCAGGAGTTCACGCCATGTTTAAGTGAGACCTGCAACGGGAGTCTGGTGGCATGTTATTCATAGTATGACGGAGAAAACTTTGGATTTGCGAGCATTAGATTGTGCGAGAAAACAACTAACCATATCGTGAGGCAATACTACTAACGCCAGTAGCGAAGGACGATCGACGACGTCACATGCTCAAGAGTTTATCGTTGCCACCCACCCGCATATTTCTATCAAAGCCTGAAATTGGTATACTTAGAATATCATGCTATGTAAAGCCTTCCAAATGACCAATTCTTTTTCTAGTATTTATGCAGGGGCAGTGTTAAGTGGGACATGATTCATGATCTGAAATCAAGTTAATGTTTGGTTTCGTAACATTTTCTGAAAGACTCGGTAATCCTTAGCAGGGCGCGCTCCTGATTACAATATCTGTTATACGTTACAAATGGACAACTCCGTACCTTTCACCAACCTGTCGTTCACTTTACACTCTATCTATAGCTTCCTTGAACAGCCGTTCTGATTGTTATGTCCCTTACCTGATTAGTGAATACCCTTCCCATCAAGAGAGGTAGATTGCCTCAGCCAGGGAGGATTACGGTATACGAGGCCCATGTTCCATGTAATGACTATAGTCGCCTCCCCTTTGTTCCACAACGGAAATTCCCCTACCCCATGCCTTGAAGCGTCCACCCGGATAAGTCCACTTCCAATCTTCCCAGCGGTCCTGGGCAAGTACTTCACGGTAATGGAGACTACTACCTGGCCAGACTGCTGTTATTCTTCCAGCCTGGCCTTTTTTGTCTATGGTATTATCAGTAAAATAAAAGCTAACATCATGTCTACAGAATGGGCATCTCTTGATCTCAGTGAAACAAGAAGAGGAAGACCTACACCAACTTGTACAATTACCAGTCCAGACAGTATCTTTCATAAACTCGTCAACCTGCAAGTTGAAGTCTTCCTGGGCGCCTCTTTTCGGTGCAAACGTGGCAACATTGTGACTATCCACACGCTTGAGGAGACGAACGATGAAATCTGCTGTCGCTTCAAGACTCCCTATCCCATTTTCAGCCTGTATGATCTCCGTGCACTTTCCATGGTGTTTCAGACAAACCTATCAGACTGCCGTTGGCAACAGGACAATTAGGACCGAGCATCGACAAATAATTCGGGAAGCCTGCACATCCAAGACCCATGTAGGACGCTGGGTCGTCCTTCCATAGCTCCCTAAGATCTACACCATTCTGGCCCACTAGCGGGAATCGAGGGCAAAATGAGGTGTTAAAGCCTGTTGCGGCAACAACAACATCGGATACCTCAATACCGTCCGCCGTCTGTAAGCCTTCTGACTTGCATGACTCGATCGGACTGAATATGCATTTAACGTTCGGCTCTTGCAAGGCGCGTAGGAAGGGTTCTCCTGGACTTATTCTGCGGCAACCTAACTCGTAATCGGGAATAAGGCGTTTGCGCAGTGTAGGATCTGTGATGTGGTTCTCCATCCACAAAGCCAACTCCTGGCGCTCGCGTATCTGTGTCTCAGAGTCGCGATAAAAGACTGGGAAAAGCTGGTTATAGTAGCTTTCTAGCAATTTGCAGCGCTGCAGATAGTTATCTGTGGTGTCGATGGAGCAGTTCTCTGTTCCTCCGAAGCTGTCTGGCAGTCTAGTAATCCACGATGGAGTTCGGATGTAGACCGACAGCCGTTTGACTAGAGGCTGGATCTGGGGGATGACCTGAATAGCGCTTGCGCCTGACCCAATAACACTGACGTTTTTCCCTACCAGATTGACCGAGTGATCCCAGTCCGCAGTATGCATAAGAGGTCCCTTGAAGCTTTCTAGTCCCGGTATATCAGGATATCGGTAGTCGTTCAGGATTCCCCCGGCATTGATTAATATATCCGCCTTCCTCCCTGTTTCAAGGATACCATTGTGTTCGGTGTCTAACAGCCACCTCCTCTCTTGCTCAATCCAGACACATCGTTTCACCGAAGTCTCTAATTCGATATGACTCCAAAGACTGAAGTGATCGACTACACGCGAGAGATAGCTCTGGATCTCTTCAGAGGGGGCAAATCTGCTCATGATAGTCGAGATCAGTTGAAGCCCAATCACACTGAAGCTGAGGATAATTGAGTACAAACAATTGGGACCAATTTTTCGCTGGCGCAAATGAGTATTGGTAAATATCACTTGGAACATCGCAAGCGCAGCCTAGCGAATTCAGTCATCTCCCTCATAACTATGAAGGATTCTCGTACCTGGGTATCTGTTTTCTAGCCACGTGCCCCCAACGTCATGGTTCTTCTCCAAAATTCTGAATGTGTAGGCATGTGATAAGTACTTTCTGAAATGATGCGCTGGGAGGAATTCAATGTTAGTTTCATAATTATCCTGACATGATGTTGACACTATGACACACCCAGAAGAATGCCAGAGATACTATAATCATCAGCAACGCTAAGATCGATTTAGGTGAGGCCACTAACCCAGCTCCAATGACAAGGATGTGGCGCTTTCCCTCCATCACCATGTGTAGTCTTCGTACTGCTGTGACTGTTCAAAAGAATAAACAAGAATGCCGGCCCCTACACAACACCAGGAGCCTATTACTTTGAATAAATTGTCGGAGGAGCAAAATGACTAAACTTAGTCCGCTCTGTGGTGATCATTAGATGCGCAACTATACATAGCGGGCCGTATCCGTTATCTGTCATGGTTCTCCAACAGCCGGACGGATATCCGTGAGTTCCGGTCACGTGCTTCTCTATCGGAACCTTTCTCAGTCCATCTCCGCTTGAAATCAACCCTTTGGATAAGCCCCACCTTGACTGTGATTGGCCAGTAGGTATCAAGTATAATTTGGATCACATGCCCAGCTGCCTAAATAAGAAACTAGTTCTTGAGACTATCTCGGCTCTTGCAGCTTTTCGCAACCTGTGACCACACGGTTCTCATCGTAGTAACCTCTGATGCCAGTTCTGGACCACTTGATTAGTTGGGCAAGAAGTCTGCTGCTGGTGTGGTAGAAATTTCATCACGGGAAACACTTGAGACACTCAATCAATTGGATGACAAGTACCGGATGACAAACAAGGAGCTTTGGGCATATCACTGGTGGATTAATTTGATTCTGAAATGCTGGCCGTACCGAGTTGTCGAGGCTTTCCTAACTGAATGATTCAGTTACTACATTGGCGACAACGGACTCACAATGTTCAATTGTGCTCCTACCGCTTTTCAGAACCTCGTGTACGCATCGTTCAGAGCTTCAGAAACGCTAAACCTCTCAGGCAAGATTGCCATAGCCAATAGCGTTGTTCTACTTTGCAACGGAATTAGTTTTGCTATACATATCCTCGTTTTCGTTTTACTTACCTCTTTTGCAGACTTTGGGACATGAAACCAAACATCCTCATTAGCCTATCCACCGTCGATTTTGGTATTGAATTCGGCCGGTTAGAGATTCATACTAAGGAGGATTGGCAAATTGGTGTAGGCCTGCGAGTGGTGATCGGCTATGAACTCTTGTATGATTCTTCCCTGACTTTATCTAGATATATCGTTGGGTCAATCGCATACCAAACGAGTATTACTTCTGGACCGCCGCGTTCCCTGGCCTCGTAAGGAATACAGATGTACGAAACAAAGCTAAGCAGTTAGCTGGTGGTACTATAACCCGGGAGGAGTACGAGTTTGTGGACATGATGAAAATGAATAAGAGCTTTAAACCCGCCTTCCATATCCAATTCATTGTTCAGATTATCATTTTCGCCATTATTCTTAGCATTATCTTCAGCCTCTGTGTCGATAGTAGTGCAGAGAACAATAATTGGGGCCTGTCGGTTATTGTCGCTTTCGTGACTAGAGTTTGGGTGCTATGCGCGATCCCGTGGGTTGTACTTGATGAACGAAGACTTGACCAAGATCTAGAAAGTAAATGTTGTATTGGCAGGTATTCAACAGCCGAGGTATGCGCTTACTTATATTTGGTAGCTGCGCCAAAGGTTAGCTTTATTAAACTGTAGGAACACTTGTAGTTCAACCATGACGACGAACACGCGACCTACTGTTAAAAGAAATATCATCACTTGATTAATTACATGAATTACTGGTAAAAGTTTATCTCGAAGGTTAAAATATATTACTAAAATCTTAAAGCAAGCTGATATAATAACTTTCGGGAACACTATATCCCGCTCTAGCTCTAGGATTGGTAATTCTTTACTCTACCTAACCCGCGATAGGTACTCTCTACCTATTCCCCAGTCGAGACTTAGGCTAAACGCAGCTAAATGATTTTTTGGTTAGCTTGAGAACAATATTTGACCCATAGAGACAGACATTAGCAGTACGTGGACAGATTGAACAGCCGTTGAGCTTACTCATCAGAGCTGTACCGAGAAGAGTTACGCCGAAGCGTCGATGTCAGCGTTATAAACAAACTTTTGATAGGTTTCTCCGAAGAGTAAGGCCTATCATTGTTACAAATAGACTCTCTGCCGCCTAAGTAAGCTTACGTTACCGCGTGCAAAGTTTATATATTACACTGTTAATATACTAGCCTAGCTTACTCATAAGATCTCATATATTTATATAAAGATCGACTCCTCTCTTGAATTATTTACTGTCTCCCAAACATAACTCCAAGGAACGATTAGAATATCACTCTTACACTACTTCATATTGAGTCGCTTCCCGAAATGCACAGCTATTCTGTACTAGTCCTTCTCTTCTTCGCAACACAGGTTTTAGGAGATAATCCTTGTAAGCGTGTTATTACCTGCAGGGGCGATGTATGCGATTATACTTGGAGACTTTTTCTACCTACTAATAATTAGGGATGTAAACAACCTGGAGTTATAAAAGCTTCTTGTTATGATATACAATATCCAGAACGGTGGTGCCTTGCGAGAACAGGGAGTTATGGTGGCATATGTAAAGACGGCTCATGTCCGTTTGGAATATGCTTTCTTCAGTGTTGCCCTGAATAGGCTGGTAAACAGGTTAGGTCTTGTCACTCTATTTAGTTGTGCTATGATCTTGCTATCTCTAGGCTAAATAATGTTGTTATAAAGTTATTCTAATGGTCTTTACTCTCACTACAAGCGTACTTATACTTAGATAAATATACATCTTACTATTTCTTATAACATGGTATAGCTCTTTTATTGGTAGAGGGAGACTGTAATGTGTATAACTCTGGTTTAGGTAACCCTCGGGACGTACCCGCTTAAGCTTCTTAAGATATCCGTCTCGACTCAAATCATTGGGCCAGCCATGCTTCCGTAAATTTTGACTCAAAACCTCATTCCTAATCATTAGCAGATCGTCGTCAATCCTTGATTAAACAAAACATACACTTCCGATCATCCATGTGTTTGGGTAGATTGTCCTGCTCAACAAGTTTTTCTCACTTCGGACAAGGTACCATCGTTAATCCTTCAACCGTTGTATAGATTTCGTCGAAATAGTATTATATATTGTGTGAAACAGACCCCAGCAGCCAAGGCTCATCTTTTGGTAGCTCTGTGTAACCAGTACCCATCGGTTAGGAGTGTAGCAGACATTTAAGCCGCATATGGAAGGTCAACCTCTACTCTGCTTTCAAAGGCTACTAATTCAACTCCTCGAATTCTTTTGATGATTTTTACGTCGTAAAGTTTAACCAAGTCTATGCTCGAAGCATTTATGGTTGCTGCAGAGTGCTCGTCATCATACAGCCTTTAGTGTTGTAGATTGAACAGGTTAATCGATTGAAAACAACTTCTGCGCAATTCACTTATTGCTTTATACTTGGTCATTTCAGAGATCGCTGCTTGGCGGGTTTGCTGTCTATCTGTGCTGTCTTGAGGTGGGAGGCTAGCGTATCTTCTTGAATGCGTGATGAAGTTCCATGGTGGCCACAAAAGCCCGCAATAATTTAGTTGTGCATTTGTTTGCAGCAATTTAGTAACTACTCAACGACCTATGTAGCTCAGAGCTTCGGTCACGTTCCCTCTGTCCCCAAGCAGATTCTCGAGATGACTGCTGGGTATGAGACAATTCTAAGTTAGAAATATAGACTAGCTCAAACGACCCTTTTGTAGGGCTCATAACCTGGTAAACTAAGGTGCTTTTCTTATGCGCACATCTATCTCAATAGTCCCAATGCGAATGCTCTTCTGCTGCAATGTGTTGTCCAGCACAAGCACTTATCTGATATGTCGTATGTTTCAGTCATGCAGGCGACAGCCATTCTTCTCAAACCCCTTTACTCTAGGCTATGGTCGTTCCATCTGCTCTTGCTGTACTGTGTTACTCTCGCGCACCCTTAGCCCGTTCAGCGAGTAAATTCAGGCGACCCAGGCTTCCGAGCCCAATCTATCTGAAACGGCAGCCTATCACTGTTTAGCCAATGTGACAATGCGGATGCTAGTTCAGATAGCTTCTGATCAAAAAAATCTTATTCGCCCTCAACAAGTGATCTGTTATTAGTAGGGCTAAGAGCCCATTCCAAGTAAGACAGACGGCCGTTGCATACGTAGCTACCATTTATTCCTTGCTTTGCAGTAACTTTTCCCTCTTATCAGCGAAACTCGAACAGGGAATAACAGAGATCGAACATTATTTCCATTCGAGACACGCTGTCATGCGCTCAGCCCAGCCAGTAGTTTTGAATCACGGTAGGTGACAATGTGGCTGATGATTGCGATGTGAAAGCTACGCGAACATTATCAGAATAATTACATTTCGTTCAGCACGTCTTGTTTCGGCGTCTCGTTCTCCATCCTACACATTGCGCCTACTTTGCTGCACTGGTCTATTTGCGCAATGCGAACTGTCGCGGAATGCACACCCGGATGACGCGACAGCTTGCATCAAGCACAGACAATTTAAGCAAACCTTAATACACGACAAGGATACGAGCGAGTGGCTTGATCACTTGTGCCTGAAAAGTATCGAAGTACGCCATCGTATTCTGGGCAGCCAATACAGGGTAGTCTAGGCCGACTATAGTCTACGGCTCAGAGTCCCCGGAATCGCACCCGGATTGGAGGCCTGGAAGTTGGCTGCACTAGAGCTCGATATAAGTCATCGCTTCTCAGAAATTGTTCCGCCTCGCATTGCTGATGCGACGTAAATATGATTGCTCCAATGGGTTGACTCAGCCACCCGGCCGACTGAGTTTTGGTTCAAACCTAAGACTTGGGGAGAGGAGAATACTCCATAAAGCTGTTATTCAGTAAATGTAAATTGAGGGGTGATAAACATCTAGGCAACAAAGAGGAATGGAGGCACTCTCAGCCACATTCATAAGTCATTCCCGTACCCTGGAACGTTAGGGCTGCAAAGGATTTAGCCTAGATCCCTAATATGGCCAATCCTGGCACGGGAACCCATGTCCGTGTTGCTCCCCAGACTATCCCTCAAAGTTACTGCGGTAGACCACCGACACTAAGAACCCCTTTCATGTACATATACACACATATAACCCCTCTTTTCTCGCATGCGCTGTTCCTTGCGCGGAAATCCTTTAAGGCCCACCACGGGCTCTCCCTAACCCTATTACATTTCGTTCACCTTCCAACCCTCACGAACCAGACAGTTGAACACCTATGTCGAGTAGATCGACGCGTTCACGTTATACAACTTGCTATAGTGGCTGGTGCTGTGCAACTTATACCGCTGCATCATCATTGTCGAGTTAGTGTGTGCTTCGTTACAGACCAGTTTTCCAAGTGCAAGAGCTTAAAGTTCCCCCATGATCGCGCTTGATGGTGGCGGCACTAAACTGGGATCTCGGAACTTTTACGCTCCGTCTTGAGACGTTAGGCCTATCGGATGATGGAAACATGCAAGGGGGCCATGTCTTTTACCCAGGACTACAGCCAGCTAATCGCTGAGGGCACGGTTAAACTTTTGGGGTGTATCTGCAACAATGCGATCGGTACGCATGTTAAAAGAGGGCCCAGGGTTATTTAGATCCTGCTATACTACTTTTGGCAAGTGTTGAGTTTTTTCTCTTGTGCATTACTTAATGGTTGTGTCGACCCGGCCCTGCTGCATAGAGAACCAAAACGACCATTGTAGTGCTCCCATGATGGTCAGCCCCTCATCACCACAGTTGACTCCAGAGCGGCTTGCTGCATTGCAAAGAGAGGACGGCGGCCCTCTGCTCATTTCTATCGTCTCCGTCTTCACTGCAGTTGGCTGTATTTTGGTTTGCCTACGAATCTACGCGCGTTCAATTATTATCCATAATGTTGGTCTCGAAGATTACTGCATTATATTATCGTTTGTACGACTCTGCACATAATATCCCAATTACACGTCACTGATCACATCAGGCGCATGCTATTGCCATGGCTGTCTTTCAAATAGAAGGTACGATCCAGTTTGTAATGACACTTGTTCCGTATACTAAACAAGTAAAGGAGCTAAACATGGGGGTTCGAAACACACGATGTTCTTGACACTACCTCAAATAGAAATGACATTGAAGGTACGATATATCAACAATCCATAATGACTACGCCTTAATAATGCCTAGTACTTATATGGAAGCATTTTGATGTATGCCAACGCCCTCACCCTCACAAAACTGTCGATACTTTTACAGTACCGTCGTATTTTCACCTTCACGTCGATGAGAATACCTATTTACATTGTCGGAGCCATCTGCCTAGCAACTGGCATTAGTGCATCGCTTGTTCTGGTATTCTCTTGCATTCCGATATCTGCATTCTGGGATATCAGTGAAAAGGAAACTGCAACATGCATAAATTCGAATGTGTGAGTGTCATTATGGCAAAAATTAGAAATGTGGTCTAACCCGTCTTTAGCTTCTCCTTCGCAGGTGCCGCTATGAACATTGTTACCGATATTCTCGTTGCAGCCCTCCCTGTACGAGCGATATGGCAGCTTCAGGTTTCACGAAAGCAACGGATCGCCCTCATGTGCATCCTAACCCTCGGCTGGTGGTAAGTTAATTTTCCATGTACACATCACAGTGCTAACTACTATGACAAA